AAAAAAAAAAAAAAAAAATTTGTAATCTGTGTATGAACACATATAAAATAGATTTCCACGTGCCCAAAACAAAATAGAAGCAAGTCACGAAAGGTGGGAAAATTTAATAAAGAATGTTTGTGTTGGTGTATATTGAATCACAGAAGAATTTCAAAAAGAGCAGCTTCTCATAGAAAATAAAAGTGAATGTATTCTCCAAGGACAGTCATGCCCTAAAGAAAAAAAGCTTCAATAAAAGACTTCAAAATATAGTCAGTTATCATGAAAATTGGCAGCTCTTATGAACTATTGCTGTGCAATTGCCCTTAATCTATCCCTACCACTTTCTCATATGTTGAATTTTCCTTTTAGTTTTTGGGGGTTTTAGGTTTTTGGCTTTTTTGTCTGTTCTTTTTTTTTAGGGTTTTTTTTTCACTATTTTATTTTATTTTATTTATTTTCTTTTTTTTTTTTTGAGTTGGAGTCTCACTCTGTCGCCCAGACTAGAGTGCAGTAGCATCTCCCGGCCACCGCAAACTCAACCTGCTGGGCTCCGGCGATCGTTCCGCCTCAGCCTTCCAAGTAGCTGGAACTACAGGCACGCGTTACCATGCCCGGCTAATTTTTTTAATTATTATTTATTGTAGAGATGAGGTCTCGCCAAGTTGCCCAGGCGGGTCTTGAACCCACGGGCTCAGGCAATCCACTCACTTCAGCTTCCCAAAGCGCGGGATTACAGGCTGAGCCACCGAGCCCGGCTTTTTTCACTATTTTAAATTGTCAGTGACATTTTTTACAATTTGCTTTGTTATGTATTTCATCTTTGCATCATTTCCAATACAGAAAATATAAATTGTTTAAAGATTTTTAGAGAGTTCTAATTAACTTCATATGCATATTTTTTTTTCAAATTTAACTCCACAAAGGTGCATTATCACAATGTAGACTTTGTGTGTAATCACCGTGCATGTAATAAAAACGAAGCTTTCTCCATAAATGAAGAGATGTCCTTTTTGTATATCTTCATTTGTGAAAGACAAAATTTCTTGAATCTCGACTCTTTGGTAACTGCATATGCGGTGGTGAGCCATCAAGGTTTTTGGATCAATCTCATCAAAAGACTTAGGTTGTCTATCAGAGGACTTCAGATGACCAGTTATATAAACTATTTCTTTATGAATATCATCTGCTCATAACTGTCACACCTGTGTGACTGCTGTTAGTACATCCATGTGTTTATGTTTGCAAAAATATGTATATTATTATTGCTTATTTTATTGTCTAAAGTAGCCCGTGAAATGTTCTGTAGGATTTTATATGTTTTTCAATTAAATCTCCTTTTAAAAATATCAATAAATGTCTTTTTAAAGTTTTTAAAATTATTGTTTTCAGAATTACATGTTCCAATTTTGATCTTTTGAGATTTCAATGTTCAGGATTGTGGCAGTTGGGATTGTGTCTTTTAGGATTATAGCTCCAACCCCTATTTCTGATGTGGTGAGTACTGTGACTGTCAGTATGTCGCATGGTCTGTTGGTGACCTGGCCTGCTTCCCCTTATGCATATTACTTTTTAAGCACAAGGAGGACCTGGGTTATTACTAAGACTTATTCTCAAGGCCATATAGGAAGGGGGCCCTGTGATGGATGCCCTCCGTAGGAACCAGCTTACTTTCCCCTGGTTTGACAGCAGGGGTTTTTTTTAATGGTGCTTTGGGAGCCCACTGCTATGGAATGCATGGCACAATTCCTGGTTCATGGTCAACTGAGTGGCTGTTATTGAATGAGTGAATACACATGCAGCTTTAGGCTTTCTTCATGAAGGTTGAAGGAAGAGCTGCAGAGTCACTCCATTCCTCTTCTCAGTAAGGCTGACTGGACTTAGAGGAAGAGTTTTTATCACTTTTTTTTCCTTCCCACACAGGCATCCCAAGCCCTGTGCACGCTGCTGCCTGTTGGTTCCTACAAGAAAGCAGTGGCCCAGTTTTTCCCTGAGCTCTTGATAACCCTCATGGTCCAACTCTCCTACAGCAGTGAGCTGAGACTGAAGATCCTGGACAGGTAACATAGTGCTGGTGATTTCAGGTTAAATAAGAGATGAGTATCCAGTTGTCAATACTTTTACTCCCTTTGGCCTTGTGAGATTCTTTATAAACCCATGTGCAGAGGATCCTTTTATTACAGTTTTCTCTCCTCTGAAGGATAGAATGCCTTCAGAAAGGTAACCAGCCTGAGTACCTAGAAGTTAGCTCACACTCTCTCTGTGTGTAGCATGTAAAGAACCATTAACAACAGAACACTGTTTATTCCTGCCACACTTCCTGTTAGATCAGTGACAGACCACTGCAGAAACCAAGAACAGAGAAGAGCATTGGATCCAAAGCTAGATACATTTCAGCTCTGCCGTTTACTGAATCTCTCATAGTAACCTTTCAGGGCTATTGTGCATGTGAGATAAAATGGTGTAAACGAATGAACTTTCTAAACTGTCACGTTGTTTTGTGGTTGGGGTTGTAATGTGTGGGCTTATGACAATATGCTGTCAACTGTCTACACAAGGAGAGATTTGCAATTCCCTTTTGCCCAAGAGAGTACAGTTAGTTTTGTGACCTTTAAGCCAGGCAGAGCTCTAAAATACAATCAGTCCCATTAAGATACATAATCTACTCCCTGATCTCCAAGAAGTCATACGCCAAATCATCCCAAGTAGAAGAAAATGGACATCTTTGGAAAATCATCATACCATTGAACACTTCTTGCAAATTAATCTATTGAAAATAAGTTAACAAATGAATAAGCTGCCCTGTGATTTTCCCTAGATTTTATGTGCCACAATTTCAATTTAATCTTCCATTATATGTACTGCTAATCGGGGAAGATGAAGGATATTTCACAATCTCCTTCCTTGGAGAAAGTCCCTTTCTCAAAATCTATATTCTGCCCATGACGGAATGAAATGGTTGGTCATGTGAACTTCGTTTTGTGAAGGTCATTGTCAAGTAATGACTGCTTTCCTTTTGGGCCTTAGGTATGCCCAGGATGCCCTGAGAGTTCTACTGAATTGTTCTGGGCTGCAAGAGGTGGCTGCTGCGCTAAATAAAAAGAATTGTTGGAACCAGTTTTGCCAAATACCACATCAACATCAGGGGGTCTACCATGTTGCCAAGTAAGTATGAGGGGCTCTATGTAGGATCCTTGATTTCTAGCCCATCTTCTCCAACTTCCTTCAAGGGGTCTATGTAGGAACATAATAGGAATTCACTCCAATTTCCAGATCTCTCTTAAAGATCTGAATTGACATTTGATTCCTGCTTGTTCAATTATATTTGAGGGGTTTTTATTTTGGGATATTTCTTTCTTTTCCTTGTCCTCTTACTTGATGATGCAACAGGCATCAGCTTGTTTTCTATGTGCTCACACTTTAAAGAGGTCTGATGAAAACCTGTGCTCAGTGAGTCAAATCAATTTAGGAAAAGTAATGGATGAGAACTTTTATTTTTCTAGTTAACCATTTAGTGAATAGTAAGCTTTTAACTATAGGGATTAGATATTCTAATCAAGAATCAAGACACAGGGTCTTAACAACATGAAAGACTACTTGAAGTTGTGACGGACCTAGAAAATATAGTATATACCTTCTATGGGCCATTGGTGCTTTTAAAACAGCATCGTGTTTGCACATATATCTCAGGAATACATTTTATTGTATAAAAGTGTCATCACCTGCACCCTACAAGGATATCTAAGAAGTACTTTTAGATTTTCATACTCAAAGTGTGGTCCACAGACCGGCAGCAACAGCATCACCCAGGAGTTAAAAATTCAGAATCTCATGACCCAGCCCAGATCTACTGAATCAGAATCTGCATTTTACGGATCCCTGGATGATCCGTATACACATTACAGTATGAAAAACACTGGTTTGAAAGACCAGCCCTGAATGGAATCTTGAAATGGAAACTTTAGCACATCTTCTTTTCCAAATCCTACCGCTGTTGATCTGATATAGTATAGGCCACCATGTCAGGACAACTGTGTGGCTCACCACTGCCCAAGTGTGTTATGAAGAATGGCTTACTGAATCAGAGCTCACCACCTCTTCTGTGTAATTCAAGGCAATCTCAAACTCTCCTCTGTGTTACATCATTGAAAGGAAGGGCTTGGTCCAAAACCACAAAGGTGACGTGTATGCAGCCATCTTGAATTGAGCACTAGATTTTTATTTCCTCTCCCTTTGGTCAAGAATTGATGAGAGCATGCACTAAAATAGGGCACTCTGTTTTGTGGCAAAGGATGGGAGAGACAGGAGAGAGAAAGGATGTTAAGAAAAAAGATGTTGACAGGGATCCAGGTATATATAATTCTCCAGAGCCTATGTAGAATTCATAGTGGGACTGTAATTTATTTAGGAAATATTTTAAAAGATTTTTCTTTTTATCTGGGAGATACAAGATATGAGAATAATAATTCTTTCTTTACCACTATTAACACGTGCTGATGCAGAACATGTTGTCTTTTTCTTTGCTTACTCAGCACCTTATTCTCCTTTACAGAACCCTCAATGAATATAACTTTCCTCAATTTCCAGAGACACTTCATTATCTATACAAGTTCTCAGTGGAAGGTCCTAGAAGGTCAGAAGAGAGTATCATCACAGTAATGTTCCTCACTGAAGTAAGTTTTATTAGGAGACTGTGAACAACTATGTTCTCATTTTCTTTCCTTATCCAAACTTAAATCAAGATTCTGGCTTCTCACCTCCCTCCCTGAATACTGGTTCTTACCAAGACTTACGATAATGGAAGATAGTTCAGTTTGGGGAACTGAGAAGAGTGGTTAGATCTGGATTATGGGTAGACTGTCCCTCCAGCTTGCTCCAGGAGTTGGCTTTTATCTTTTGCTAGGGGGTGTGGATTTACAAAATTATTTTTATAGTACCAGTTTATATATTTCTGCATGCTTGCTAAAGTATGTCAAAGGATAATTGGATTTAATAAAGATAGTAAGAAACATTTGGAACTTATATGGTGGTTCAGACCATCTGGGGAAAAAACAAAATTGGTCAAATAACTGAGTAAATGAAGATATGAAACTATGTTACTTAGTATATGAATATTATGTCATATATTGTAATGTCAAGCAAATTGAGAAAGATATTTTGCTTATTTAAAAAAGGTTCTATAAGTTGGAATTTTCAGAGTCAAATCTAATTTTTCCATAAAAGTAAAATTGCAATAGGCAACTATTACCTAAGGTGGGATGCCCAATATTTTCAAAAAATTGAGATAAATGCAAAGATCATAGCAAAACAGTTAAACTATAAAGACTATTTACTTCTAAAGCTTTCAAAAGTATACATAAATCAATTTAACTGAGCCTGTCATTAAGCAATAATCTGTGTTTTTCAAATGTGCCTCATCCATTTGGATCTTTCGTTAGCTTCTACTGTATGACTCATTATTTTTATTACATTGCCATTTAAGTACATATAAACATTAAATAGGTCTAAACAAGAATAAAGAAGAACTCATTAAATTATACTTTCGAAAGAAATTTACAAGCTATATAAGATTTTTTATCATCATTGTTAATGTGACAGACAATGCTTAATGAAGCCTGATTGCCTCACTCACCATGAGCATGGCACCTGCTGCTACTGGAGGTCAGCATACCTGTCCTTCCAAGTGCTCAGCGGTGATCACATTCTTCCACCTTTGTCTCTAATTTGAATTTCTGGACATCTTAGTTGTTCTGAACACACAATCTGTGTATTTTACTGTATTTTGATCATAATAGCCAACAATTCTTAAGAGAGCACCATTGATGCCTATGTCATCTGTTTATATATACTTGTTATTTCTAATTTTTTTACCAATAGGAATACCGATAGAGTTGACATCTTTGTGCCTAAATTCTCTTTTTTTGGCATTTCAGATTATTTCCTTCTCACAGATCCTAAAATCTGAAATAAAAGCTCAAGGGCATAAACATTCTCAGCCCTAAAGATTTTTTAAGCCCCAGCTGGTTTCTGAAAGGCAGTGCCAGTCAATGCTCTCATGCAGTCCTGAGTGTGCTCTCCTTGTGACACCCTCACCACCATGGAGCCTCCTTGTTTGAAAGGCAGACATGACGTCTTATGGATGATTTCTTTTTCCCTTAATTTTTCAATTTTTAGAAAGGTTGAACATTTAAAAAATAAATACTAATAACTTAAAATTTCTTTGCCCGTTTACCTGTTATTATGGTCATAAGGTTTTCTCTCCTTTCTGCTTTCCTCTCCTCTCCTTTCCTCTCCTCTCCTTTCTTCTCTTCCCCTCTCCCCCTCTCCCTGCTCTCCCTCTCTCCTCCACATACACAAAAATGTAAAGGATATTAAGGTTATTTATACTTTTGTTTATAACACCTGCTGAGAGTTAGAACCCAGTTTGTTTTCCTTTTCCTTTTGTTTATGGAATATGATCTTTTTCATAAAAGTAAAACTTTAAGAAAAAAAGCTTAAAAAGTTGATAAATATTCAAAGAGTTGATAAATATTCAAGTAAATTTTATCGTAATATTTTATATATACACATGTGTATTAATTTTTACATGTAATTTTGTTTTACATGGAGTTTGTATGGTATACCATGAATGAGGATCTAACTTTAGTTGTTGCTAAATAATTGTCCCAGAATTATTTAATTGATAGCTTTTAATTCATTTCTCATTGGCAAAACCACCTTTATCATTCACCAATCTCTTATGTACACACACACACACACACACACACACACACACACACTCACACACACACACACACATACAGATCTATCTCAGGTTATTCTATTACGTTCCATGTATTTTTTTATTTTTTTGTTCTTGTGGAAGTATCCCTCTGCTGAATTACAGCAGATTAATTTAGTTGTAATATCTGGTAAAGCAATTTCTCCTCAACTCTCTTCAAAATTTCTTTTATTCTATTTATTTGTTCTTCAAATTAAATTTTTAAATAATTTTTCCAAGTTTAGAAGAAAAAACAACCTTTGGGTGAAGTTATAATTACATTTACATTAAGACTATGAGTTCATAAACATTTGATATCTATATGCTATTTTAATTTCTCTGTTCTTCATTTAATTTGTTAACATTTTCATTTAACTCTTACATATTAATTTTGCAATTATCAAGTAATTTATATTATTTTAAGTTTTCAGTGCAAATGTGGCCTTTTTCATTATATTTTCAAGTTCATGAGTGCTGGTTGTTCAGAAAATTTACACTATATTATTTTGCATTAAGCTACTCTCCTGAGTCCTTATATTAATTCTAATAATTTTCAGTTGATTCTCTTGGATTTTCTAGTTACATGATTTTGCTGTATGGAAAAAAGTATAACACTTTTATCTCTGTTTAAATCATTACTTTTTCTTGACTTATGTTTTTGCCTTGACCTTTAAGCACAATTGTATTTTTTTCCAACCTGACTAAGTTATAATTTGCCAAAAAAATTATATATATTCAAGATACACAACATGATTTGATTTGTGTGTGTATATACATATATATGCATATGCTGTGAAATAATCACCAAAAATTAGCATATACCTCACCACATTTGGTCACTGTTGTGTGTGAGAAGTGATGAAGGTACTTCAAAGCTGCATTTTTAACAAATTTCAAGTAAACTATACACTCTTACTATAATAGTAAACATGTTGTACATTATAACTCCAAAGCATTTTCATCTTACATCTGAAAATTTGTAACTTTTGACAATTATCCCCCCATTTTCCTCACCTACCAGCTCTGACAGCCATATTCTACTTTCTGATTCTGTGGATACAGTACTTGTCTTTCTGTGTATGGCTGATTTCACTTAGCATCATGTCCTCCAGGTTCATCCATGTTGTGGCAAATAGCAGGTTTTCTTTCTCTTGTATGGCTAAATAAAAACCCATTGTGTATACATACCACATTTTCTTTATCCATTTATTCATCAACAGGCACTTAGGTTAATTCTAAATTTTGATTGTTGTGAACAACACTGCAATGAAAATGGGGGTGCAGATATCGCTTCAAAATCCTGATTTCATTGTTTTAATATATACTTAGTCATGGGATTGCAAAATCTTATGGTAGTTTTATTGTTTATCTTTCAAGGAACTTTCATACTGTTTTCCATAAGACTGTACCAGTTTACGTTGCCACTAACAGTGAACAAAGGTTCCCTTTGTCCATATCCTTATCAACACTTGTTAGCTCTTCTCTTTTTAATAATAACTATACCAACAAATATGAGGTGATATTTCACTGTGGTTTTAATTTGCATTTTCCTCATGGTTAGTAATATTGAGCATTTTTTCATATACCTGTTGGCCATGGGTACCTTTTTTAAAAGTCTATTCAGACCTTTTGCACATTTTTTAATTGTTACCTGTTTTGTTTAATTGAGTTGTATTAATTTATTAAACATTTTTGCTATTACTCCTTACCAAATATATGGTTTGTAAGTTTTTTATTTATTATTTTAAAGATGTGGGGTACAATTAGGGTTAGGTATATAAATGTTCATTATGCAGGTACCCTTGTTGATGAGGTGTGCCCCCCCTCCCCTGGCAGTTTCCCACTACTGCCAATCACTTTCTTATAGTATTATGATAATTGATCAAGGTCCACTTATGAGTGAGAACTTGTGATACTCAGTTCTTTGTTTCTGTGATAGATCACTCAGATTATAGACTCTAAATCCATCCAGTTGCTGCGAAGTTCATAATTTTGTCCTCCTTTATGGCTGTGTAATATTCCATTGTGTATATGTACCACATTTTTTTAAACCAGTCTTCTTTCGATGGGCAGCATGGTTGGTTCCATGTTTTTGCTATTGTGAATAGTGTTGCAATAATATGCATGTGCAGTTATCTTCTTCATAGGTTGGTTTGAGTTCCTCCAGATATATTCCTAGTAGGGGGATTGTAGGGTTATATGGAAGGTCAACTTTTAGATCTTTTAGGAATCAGAAAACTGTTTTCCACAGGGGTTGTACTAGTCTACACTTCCACCAACACTGTAGAAGTGTTCCCAGCCCGGCTCAGTGGCTCAGCCTGTAATCCCGTGCCTTTGGGAGGCTGAGGTGAGTGGATTGCCTGAGCCCGCGGGTTCGAGACCCGCCTGGGCAGCGAGACCTCATCTCTACAATAAATCAAAAAATCAGCCGGGCATGATAGTGCATGCCTGTAATTCCGCCTACTGGGAAGGCTGAGGTGGAAGAATTGCTGGAGCCCTATAGGTCGAGGCTGCGGTGGCCGGGAGCGGCCACTGCACTCCAGTCTGGGAGACAAAGTGAGAATACAACTCAAAAAAAAAAAGAAGTGTTCCCTTTTCCCCACACCTTCTCCAGCATCTGTTGTTTTTTGAATTATTAATGATGGCCATCCTGACGCGTTAGATGGCATGTCAGTGTTGTTTTAATTTGCATTGTTTTGATGACTAGTAAAGTTAAACATTTTTTCATGTATCTGTTGGCTGTTTGTATGTCTTCTTTTGAGATGTGTCTATCATATTTTGCCCACTTTGTAATGGGGCTGTTTTCTTCTTTTTGGCACATTTGAGGTACTCGTAGATCCTAGATGTTAGGCCTTTGTCATATATACAGTTGGAAAATATTTTTTTCCCAGTCTGTGGTCTGTCTCCTCACTCTCCTGATGGTTTCTTTGACTTTGCAGAAGTGTGTCAGTTTGATGAGATCCCACTTGTCTATCTTATCTCTTATGGCCTGCACACTCGGGGTTTTTAATCAGGAATTGGTTGCCAGTTCTAGTTTC